CCACATTGCCTAGGAGCCTACTGAAACCAATCCCTACTCCCGGAGCTCCCGCCACCTTTCCTGGCGCTGCTTATCCTTCACTGCTGCGGGAGCTAAGCTGGAACATGCCCAGATTATGGCCCAGCGGCAGCTGTGGGAAGCCACGGTGGGGAGGCAGAGTTCTCCTCCCCTTTTTCTCCTCTGTGTATAATGAAACCAGATGACCATTGACATGGATGATTCTGGTCCTGAATAAACCTTGTGCTGTGATTCCAGTGTGACCTCTGCTATGAGCTGGCAAGTCTTCCAGCCCTCTCTGAGGCTCCATGATCTGGTCTGTCCCCCTCAGACCCACTGCTGAGGCTCACAGCGTGGTGGGATCTCGAGGTCATGATGGGCCCCTCAACAAACCCTTCTTAGGAGAGGTAGCTGAAGCCCAAAGCCTGCCATTCAGTGAGGGCTGAGACTCACAGGCATGGAGAATGAAGGTTGGGACACCTGCTTCCTGCAGGTCTAAACTGGCTGTGCTGGGAGAGGCCAAGTGCAGATTGAATAAGGGTCCAGTCGAGGCAGGGAGAATCAGAGGGTACCACAGGCATTATCTGACCTCCACAGGCCAAATACAGTCATAAGTTGATTATGGCCAGACATGGAGGTACACTCCTGTAATCCTACCATTTGGGAGGCTGAGGCAGGTGGATTGCCTGAATTCACAGGTTCAAGACCAGCCTGAGCCAGAGCAAGACCTCCTTCTCTAAAAAATATACAGGTCTTATGTCAAGCGCCTGTAGTACAAGCTACTTGGGTGGCTGAGGCAAGAGGATCACTTGACCCCAAGAGTTTGAGGTTGCTGTGAGCTAAGATGTCTTGGCAGCACTCTACCAAAGGTGACCCAAGTGAGACTATGTCTCAAAAAAAAAAAATAAATAAAGTTGGGCTCGGCCCCTGTGGTTCAAGCAGCTAAGGCACCAGCCACATACACCTGAGCTGGCAGGTTGGATCCAGCCCAGGCCCGCCAAACAACAAAAAATAGCCAGGTGTTGTGATGGGCACCTGTAGTCCGAGCTACTTGGGAGGCGGATGCAGGAGAATTGCTTGAGCCCAGGAGTTGGAGGTTGCTGTGAGCTGTGATGTTACCGCACTCTACCTGGGGCGACAGCTTAAGGCTCTGTCTCTAAAAAAATAAAAATAAATAAAGTTGATTATGACTTTGAATTGTCAAAACATATAAAATTTCACCTGGGGGCTGGATTTGTTGAGCAACCTTGAGCTTGACAATGGCTGTCCCTTTATAGCCAGAGCTGTAGAGAACCTTTCTCCACAGTCCCTATCCCTCCCTGGTGTCATTCATTTGTAAATGTTGTAATAAAAAGGCCACCCATGATGCTGTTTTACATATCAGAGTAAAGACTAGATGGAGACACTGACTTAGGCACCTGCATTGAAACCTACAACCCCAGGGAGGCATGAGGTGGGGGTGGGGTGGGGAGGAGATGGATGGTAGAGGCCTCTTGATACAGTATCTGAATCTTCCCATTGACTCCCCAATGCTGAGAATAGAGATTTTGCTTCCTGGGCTATTGATGGCCTGGACTTAGATGCCCTTGCCAGACTCCTTTGAGGTCTACCCAGAGAGCTCTGACAGGGGCTCCTTGGAAATAAACTGATGGAATTTCTGGGTGAGTCATGTCTATTCAAGGTCTCTGATTTGGCCCTCCTCCACCCTTCAGGACCCAAAGGAGACCCTTCTCTTGGGGTCTTCAGTGGTGCTTCAGTAGGAGACTAATGAGCAGGGGGAACATGAGCCATGACAGGATCACAGTGTTCACAATAGGACAGCCAGATGGATGGATGGAGTCAACTACATGGAAGAGCCAACCCAAAGAAAGCTCAGCCAAGACTTACAGAGAGGCAGATTACTCACCTAGATCCCACTGTGCCTGAAGCTGATGCCTCACCAAATTCATAAGTACCTGGATCCAGCTGTGCCTGAAGCTGATTTTCACTTATATGAAACAATAAATTCCTCTATTTGATTAATTAGTTCCTTCCATAACCAACAAATGCCCCATATGCCGTCTCCAAATGAGGAGTCTGGGTCACAAACCACCTCCATCTTGGACAAAGAAAGCCTGATGCTGCTTAACTTTAGCATGTCCCAAAATGGGAAAATGAGCTTTGGCAAGTGTCCTTGAGGGAACTTGAGTCCCTGCCGGGAGGCAGGTTAGTTGAGTCAGAGTTGCCCGGCCACCCTCCTTTGCCATGTGGCTGGGCTACCCACCACTGCAGCTCTCCCAGCTTGAGTGCTCTGAGGTTTGGCTACTTGCTCAGAGCTTCCCCATTCTGCAGGCCCTGAGGGAGGGTTCCAGCACTTACTGGCTGCAGAGTGTTCTTGATTCTGGGAAGAGCATCAGGCTCTGAGCTCCTGAGAGCAGGAGGGGAATAGCCCTGCCCCTTCCCTCTGGCACCAACCTGGCACACAGCATGCTCTCAGGAATACTGCTGAAAGCATGAGAAGACCAGATGTCCTGGAGAATCCATGGTAGTGTCTGGGGCTAGCCTACTCTCACAGGGCAGGGACATAGCTTGGGCCTCTTTCCATGCACACAGTTCCTAGCACAGGGCTGGGAACATAGAATGAGCTCAAGGTCCATATAGTCTGTTCAAGGGAACATGGATTTGAAGGCCTCCCTCATTTCAGAAGTTAACTCTCCTACTAGCCCTGGTGTGGGGGCCTCTATGTCACTCTGACCCAAGGGATCTGTGTGCTGCCACTTCTAGCTGGAGCTGGTGATGGTGGTAGTCCCAACATGTCCTCTGCCATAGATCCACCTGCCTCCTATCAGCAGGCAGGGGAGCCCCAGAAGAGCTGGTGTTCAGAGCTGGGGGCAGTTTCACTTGCTAGCCATAAAGATGGTGTCCTGTCTGCCTGTTCCTCAACAGCCCTGGTCTGGGAGTCCCAGGTCTGGGTCTGGGTGCTGCTGGCTCTGCTGCTCCCCACTGTGCAGCCTCAGGTGACTCAACAGTCCTCAGTGTCCTCACGTGCACAGCAAGAGCCTGGGCAGATGTTTTGGTGCCTATTCCAGGTTCACTGGGCACAATAAGTCCACTCCACTTGAGGCCCATATTCAAGCCCTAGGAGACAAAGGGATTAAAGGGCTCTCAGCCTCCCCAAGCTACCTGGAGAAGGCACAGGTTCTGCAGGCTCCCACACCCAACCCCTCAAGACCCCCTCTGCCTCTGGGCCTCCAGGCTCCCACTTCTGGACAGGAGGAGAGGGGGGAGAAGTCTTTTTAAAAAGATTAGGCAGGCGGGGGCGGGGGTGAAAATGTTCTAAAATGGACTGTGGTGATGATCGCCTAACTCTGTGTGCAGAGTACTAAACACTACTTAACCATACACTTTATTTATTTAGACAAAATTTCACTCTGTCACTCAGGCTGGAGTGCCGTGACATCAGCTTAGCTCATAACAACCTTAAATTCCTGGGTTCAAACAATCCTTCTGCATCAGTCTCTTGAGGAGCTGGGACTACAGGTGTGCACCACACTCAACTAGTTTTTCTATTTTGAGTAGAGATGGGGTCTCACTCTTGCTCAGCCTGGTCTCCAACTCCTGAGCTCAAGTGATCCTCCCACCTTGGCCTCCCAGAGAGCTAGGATTACAAGCATGAGGCATGAGCCACCACACCCAGCCTAATTGTACACCTTAAGTGGGCAAATCGTATATTATGTGAATTACATCTCAATAAACCTGCTTAAGTGTCAGGGAATGAGTGGAGTAAGGGTCCCCATGGCAGTCCCTGCTCAAAGGCAAGGGGGTACAGTCACAATTGACTTGACAAAGATCACACAGGAATAGTTTGCTTAATTATTTCTTTATTGTGGAGTATTTTACATGCAAGAATCCAAATTAGAGAAATGGTATCTGGAAGGAGGGCCAGTGGGGTAGATGGACACTCTAAGCTTTGCATACACTGATCTGCCCTCCAGAACCAGCTCTGCCCATGGAAATGAACAAGGACAAGAACATCAGACATCTAGGACGAGTGGACAATGAACTTAACACAGTCCTCTTTTTAACAGACCCAACAATCCTGAGAACTCTCATAAATTAAGTGCAAACTTTAGGAAATAAAGTTTGATGCCCTCCTCCAGGAGAGCCTGGAGGTTTGTGTAGAGAGCAGCAGCTCTGACTTAGGGGCTGACAACTGCTGCTGGGGGCCAGTGGCTGCAGGGGAGGCTTGGACCCATGGACAGGATAGGCTGGAGATGGGTGCTGGGGAAGGTGGGCACTTCAGGGCCTATGGGGATTGTCTTCGAGGTGGAAACACACTTCTCTGTGGGTGAGGAAGACTGGCTGTAACCAAGTGGGACAGACATACCAATAGCAGACCATGGAGAGGAGCTCCCAGGGGCTACGTGGCAGTGCCAGGGGCTGAGCCCAGGCCATGAGCAAGTGCTTCTCCACACTGCTCTGCCCAAGCTGTCTGGAACTGCCCTGGCCCCAAATGAACCACCCAGAAGACTGGGTCGTGTACGTGTGAGGTCCAAGGGTAGGAGTGTGGCACCTGGCAGCATTCTGCCCTGTCAGAGCCCTGGTCACCACCCTCCTAGTTGGGCCACTGAGGATCACTGCCATGGTGCCAGATTCTCCCCTCCAGAGCAGCTGGAGTGACAGCACAGGTCCTGAGACCACTGGGTGAGGAGGGAAGGGGAGTGAGCCAAGGCACGGTCACTCACAGAGGGGCTGATGGACAGAAAGACAGGAAGACAAACAGTTACCTTTTCCTCTGCCTAAACCAGCAACAACCCCTTTGGCTCTAATTCCCTCATTGCACCTGCTCTGTGACTGGGTGGGGACCACCGTGCCTGGGGTCTAACTCCGGGTGGAGCCATTAACTGCTGCCCACTGGCCAAAAAGGTAGGCGGAAGGAAATGGTTAGTTTCTACATCTCAGCACACAATGAACACATAAAAGGTTAAACACATCCCCAAGAAAATATTTTGACAAAATAAATATTTTAACCTCTAATCAGGTATAATTAGTGCTTATGAGGAATCCCAGAAATAATTTAGTGTAATTAAGTACATACTGTATCTGTGATTTCTAACAATAGCTTTCTTACCCGGGCTCTGCCCCTTCCCTAACCAGGTGGCCTGAGGATTATGCTCCCCAGAGGGGGTGAAGGGTAGAGGCCTCAGGACAGATATCCCACCAGGGCTGAGTGGTGCTCCCTCCAGGGCACTGAGGCAGCACCTACTTCTTGTGTAGGCCTCAAGCGCCACTCTGCCTACTGGTAGGGGCAGGCTACCTCTGGACAGGTGTGGGCAGGGGCCTTGAAAGCCGCCAGAGGGGGGACTCTAGGCTGGGAAGGCAGGAGACACTTGGTTGCCCATCACCACCTGCTTCCCCTGGGGGCAGCCATGCCTCTCTAGGCCATGCCTGGCCAGCCAGTTGTAGTTGGGTAGGCTGGAGGCAGCTCTGGTTGTGGGTACTGGAACAGCTTTGCTAGGGCTCCCAGGCAGCACCTGTCCCAGGAGCCTTCTCTGTCTAGGAGCTTGAGGCTGCTGGCCTAGTGGGATTTCCCTTTCCATAGCAGGGAGGTGGGCTCTCTCCTGATAGGACACTGGGGCTGGCGCTAGGCACTGCTGCCCTCTGCCACAAGTTGGCTCTGTATGCCAAAGAGCTGGGTCTCTGGGCGCACTTAGGTCACCCAGCCATCTTCTCTGCAGTCACGTCAAGCCAGCGGTCTTCAGAAGCATCAGCATCTAAGGTGGTCCCTCCCAACCATATATGGTCCTGTCCCCACACCAGGAACCAGAGCCCAAGATGGCTCTGCCTTTGAGAAATGCTGCTGAGAAGCACAGGCTGACTGCAGGTCAGAGCTGAGGTGGAAGGCATGGCATGTACCGCCAGGGAGTCAGGCTGGCCAAGGTCCGGGGAGGAGCTTCCTGGGTGTCCTCTGAGAAAGTGGAGTGTAACATCGCCAGCCAGTCCTGCCAGATGAGTCCCCAGACAGACTCTTCTAGCTAGGCTGGGCCCCGGCTTCTGGGTTGGGCAATGTCCCCACTTTCTACTGGAATTGTTCCTGCTGGTGCTTGGCATGGCCCCCAGCTGCTGTCTCCATCCTAAATGTTCCCCAGAGACCATGTCATTAGTCTCTGCTCAGGTGATGCCCAGCCCTTTCTCCTGCTTGGGCTGGTGCTCTGGCAGTGACCCCTGCAGCATCTAGGCCATCTAGTCAGGTGGGACGGGCTGACCGTATCAGTGAGGATATAGGATGGAAGCAGGTGTCACCAGCCTCCATCTGCTCAGCCCCAGGCTCTGTCGGCCTTCAAGGTTGCCTTGGGGAGAGGGTGCAAATTGGTGACTGGGGGCCATCTGAGGTGGGACATGGTCAGGCTGTCAGGAAAGTCTGTGGGAGGAGCACAGAACCCCTGGTAGGGAGGAGTTCAGTGGTCATAGTGTCAGTCTGGCCATTCAGTCAGTAGAACCTCCAAGCACAGTGCAAAGTTGTCTGCTGCTGGGCCCTGGAGGTAGAAGTGTGAGGCTACCACAGGCCAGACCAAAGCCTGCATGTGGCACATTAGCAAGCCTCATGACACTCCTAGAAAACCAAAACACCCTCCCCATGTAAGCCCCTCCATGAACCAGGGCCAGCTGTGCAGTGTGAGTGTGTAGAGAGTGCGTGGGGAGCCTGGGATGTGGTAGTGTTACCTCAATAGTGCACCTACTGCCCTCCCAACCATGTGTGGCCCTGTGCCTATGCCAGGAGCCGGCAGGGCCCTTAGTCCCAGACTCTGCTGCTGAGCCAGGTCCGGTGTGGGGCCTGGGCTAGCAGCTAAGTCACAGACAGAAGCTCGAGAAGGTAAGAGACCCCTCTCCCCGTGGGCACCCACAGAGCCTTCTAAAGTGCTGCTACACCAAGCGCCACAAGGTGACGCAGAGTCCAAGGAAAACCAGGCTGGGGGACAACTGCGCCCTGTTCTGCTAGAGGCAGTAGCACAAAGGCCCTCCTGGAAGAGAGGGACACAGGGAGCAAGCATGCTGGGGGGTGGGAGGGTACGAGGGGGGCTGAGGCTGCCCCTTTTCTGTAGGTAGGTGGCTGAAGGAAAGACTCTGCTCAAGACACAGTGCGAAGGGACTACCCTGCCTGGGCTAGGCCACTCTGCCTGCTCTTCCAGAGGGGGCCCATCAGGGGAGGGAAGTGACCTCTGGCCATCCCACCATCTGGAGGGAAAAAGGTGCCTGTAGCTGATCCTGACTAGTGGGAGGCCTGGGAGCAGACATGGTGGCATTTCCATGGAGACAGGTGTGCAGGCTGCATGGGGGTTGGGGATGGGAGGAATGACCAGTGCCTGGTGTCCGTGGGGAGTGAGTGGTGACCCACCATCTGGGGAGGCAAACTGCTCACAAGGCGAAGAGGGCATCCTCTGAGCGCTCTGGCTTCTTCCGGCCAGAAGGGTTTGAGGCTGGGGCAGGAGCCTCCGTGGGGGGTGAGGGGAGGTCAGGAACCATTTCAGCAGCTTTGGCTCTTTCTTCAAGGAATTTATCAAACTCTGTAATACAAACCAAGGCAAGGGCCAGAGTTGGTGGGGGTCACCCTAGCATGAGCCCCCACCCATCTCAGCTCCAGCTGGCTAAGGCTCTAGGCCACCAGCCAGGGAGAGGCAGTGGCGGCAGGGTCAGTAGCCAGTCAGAGCCATGGTGCTGCCTGGGGGCCAGCGTCAGGGAAGGCTCTGCCAGCCTCAACTCTCCAGCCTCGGTTTCTTCCTCTGGTACCCCCAGGAGCTGGTGGGTGGGGAAGGCTCTGGGAGCTCCATAGGAGAGAGGGTTCCATGTGTCCTGCCATAGGCCCTGCAGGGAGGGTCTCTGGAGAAGGCAATGTGAAGCTCACTAGTGTGCTGGAATTTTGTCAATTTTCAGCCCAGCAGGGGTTAGGCAGAGAGAGCCAGATGGCTGAGCTCCCAACTGACTTGCCAGGGACCACCCTCCCCGCCCACAGGGAGAGGCTGCTGTAACTGATCCTGACTGGTGGGAGGCCTGGGAGCAGACATGGGGGCATTTCAGTGGAGACAGGTGAAGGAAGGAGGTAGGGGAAGGTGATGCTATACTCCATACAGTGCCAAGACTAGAAAGCCTAGGCCTCCAAGAGCCCCCTGCCTGTGGAGTGGTCTGGTCCCTGTGAGGAGCAGGCAAGGAGGGTGTCTGTGCAGGAGAACTTAGCCCTTGCTGTTCCAGCCCATCAGCCGAGGCCCAGCCGCCCTGGCTCCTGCACACCCTGTGACCACACAGCAAAAGTCTGAGCAAGACTGAACATCCAGGGGTCGGGACCCAGATGCCAATCAGTGCCCACTATTCACTAGCTCTGTGATCTTCTGAAAGTCACATGTTCTCTCTGACTTCCATTTCCCAATAAGCAAGATGAGAGAAATGACACTTCCCATATCAGCACAAGGCCTGGGCAGGACTGAGTCACCCTTGAAGACTGTGACTTAGGGCCTGGTGCCAGTAGGTGCTTTGGCAGTGGGGGCTTCCTGGCGAGTGGGAGCTAGCCCTTGTGCAGCTTCGAAGGGAGGCTATAAGTCTACCCATCAGCCAGGTCATACCTTCACTTGTGACGCCCTCGTCCAGGTCATCGCCCTTCTGTGGGAGGAGCAGAGAGAGTAGTATTAGGGCATTGGTCCTGGACCTGCCTGCCCAGCCACCTCTGTCCACCCTTGGCCACCCAGGGTGTGGCACTGCCCATAGCAGCTGGAGCAAAACTTCCTACTTCCTCCTGTTTCCAGATGTTTATAGAGCAAAGTATTACTCTTCTTATTGGAGAAACAGATATTTTATTTTTAAAAAACAAAAGAGAAAACAAACAAAAGAACTCCAAATAGTTTCTAGATTTTTGATCTTCCAGAAAAGCCAGAAAGAGAAAGTCCAAAAACAGTGCAGGCTAGTTCTGTGGCCTGGGCTGCAAAGGACAGGACCCTGACCTTGACACTCTCAAGGCCCTGGGGAGAGGTACAGAGGGGCGGCCAAAAGAAGATGAGCCCAAGGCACACCCAGGTTGCTGCATGTGCTTCTCTGCACAATGCCCACTTGTGGCCAGCCACAGGGGTTCTAAGAAGGCACTGTCCAAGCAGCAGCTGGAAACAGCAGGAGGCCTGGCTAACCCAGGGCCACAAAGCCCATGGCACGGAGCCTGGCACTCAGGAGATGCTTTGGCAGTAAGGGGTGCTGTCCCTCCACTCATGTCCTATGGCCTCCAGGGAGTTACACCAGTCTTCTGTGGCTCAGATCCTGCCACCTGCTGCTGGCTCCTGAAGGAGCTACAGAGGCTCTTGTGCACTACTGTGAAGTGGGTCAGACTTGATTTTGCTTGGAGACTGCAGTGAGACTGCAGTAGTTTTTGAGCTCATGGAGCTACCCAGGCACTGGGGAAGAGGGGTGTATGCAGGGGCCTCCCTGGAAACCATAAGGAAGTAACAAAGCCCTGGGCTGGCCTAGGACACCTTGGGTTCTTCCTGACTCTGCCACTGACCCATTGTGTAGACTTGCTGGACAAGTTCCTTCCTTTTCTGGCCCTTGGGGTACCCCCTTAGAAGGTGAGGGCCTTTGCCCTGGGCAGCACCTGTGGTTCAAAGGAGTAGGGCGCCGGTCCCATAGGCTGGAGGTGGCAGGTTCATACCCGGCCCTGGCCAATAAAAAAGAAGGTGAGGGCCTTGGCCCTTCTTGCTTTGGCTTCTATGAAAAGTGATTTCATTTTGAGGTATCTCCTTGGGAAAGATATAATGAGACATTTCCTTCCTCTCCTAACCCCTGGGTGGTTGCCTCATTAGGCAATGAATGTCTTTGCCAAGCCTGGCCTTCCAGGGAAGAGGATCAGAGCACTAAGAGGCCCTGACCTGAGGCCTACTATCCCAGTGTGAAAGGTGGCCAAGTTACCAGCCCATAGACAGCCAGGCTGACCCTGTGGTTAAAGAACTCAAGAGGCTTCTGCTCTGGGGACAAGGTCCTTTGAAGAGGAGGCAGCTGGGAGCAAGAGATGAGGTGTCTCCAGGTCTGGGGGAGGACCCAACTAGAAAGCCACTTCCCTCCCAGAGTACACTTCTTCATCAGCCACTGGCCAACAGCCCTGCCTCCGGGCCCCCCACAGCCCACTGCTCAGTCAAAGAGTTTTGTAAGAAACAAAGGGATGGCCCAGTGATTCTGATAGCCCCAGAGACTGTAGCTCTCCTTTCTGGGAACCTGCTGCTGTTTTTAGATGCATATCCTTATCTAATACGGAGATAGTGGTCTTCAGTGATCTTTAGGGCAGGCTGGAGTACTGTGGCCTCAGCCTAGCTCACAGCAACTTCAAACTCCTGAGCTCAAGCGATCCTCCTACCTCAGCCTCCTGAGTAACTGGGATTATAGGTATGTACCACCACACCTGGCAATTTTTTAATTTTTTCTAGAGACCAGGTCTTGCTGTTGCCCAGACTGGTTCAAACTCTTGGCCTCAAGTGATCCTACCACCTTGGCCTTCCAAAGTGCTGGGATTACAGATATTAGCCCCAGCCAGGGGTTCTTTTGAATAAAAATCAGGAATGGGAATGACAGCAAATTAAAAACAAAACCACTGTGTGTATATGTCACATTAAAAGAAAAAAAAAAGAAACCTCCCTCCAAAAACCCCAAACCAAAAACACCTCCCCCATAAAAGGCACACACACCCTTGAATAGAAAAGAACTTGGGGGAATGCAAAGGTGTGTTCTGGAGCAGCTGCAGGTGGGCTCATACCCCAGCTCTGCCCTCCCTGGGCCTGAGATGAGGGAGGCTGCCCCTAGGCGTTTCCATCCCAACTGGCCAGGGAGTTAACACTGCACCAGTGGCCGTAGGCTAAGTGGGGAGGAAGGTGAGCTGTGGCGAACAGGCAGCTGCAGATGCTGAGCCTGCCTTGGACCTCCCTCTCCTGGATGGGACCAACGTCCCCTGAGGCCTGTCCTCTGCTTGTTCACACCCCACACACGAGATATAAAAGTTGAGTCTCACCAGGTCCATCCTGAGCCACACCTCAATGTCGTCCATGACAGAGGGCTGCGCAACGGGGATCTATGGAGGCAGCAAGCAGCGGGCCAGGCAGCCCCGCACAGCCAGCAAGGGAGACAGAACACCGGAACAAAGGAAATCGTCAAAAGCAACCCCGAACGCAACCAAAACGTACACAGAGCAAAAAACACAACTGGCACAGCACACACAGCAACATAGGGCAGCCACATGTGAAATGGCAGGTGAGGAAAGCAATGAGTTGCAAATTATAAGAAGCAAGCTGCCCGGCAGGGCAGGCGAGCAGGAGGTGGCAGCACCCATTCTTGAAATGGAGAACTTTTTGACTATGTGTGTCCACTCTCAGTCATGGGGCCTGTTGGCCCAGGGCTGCAAAGCCTCTTCTAATCTCAGGAAAGCGCTGTCAGGCTGTCTGATTCTGAACTCACCTGCCAGGACAGTCCAAGGAATACTGACTAAAGACTGTAGAGCCCAGTCCAGGGGTGACTGGAGGAGCTAGGTGTGGGCCCTGATGTGACAGGGAGGTTGACTGGCACCCTGCCCAGAGCAGGGTGCAGGTGTGGCGAGGGGTGGCCAGGGTACCCATCAGCCCTGGGAGATGTTGGGGGCTCTATTTGCTCAGCTGAGAGTTTTTCAAAATGTGTGCTAGTGCATTTATGAGAGGCACCAGGGAGGCACGTGCTTCAACAGCCTCAGTGTGGCTTGGTGGACAGAGGCAAGTACATTTAACCACCAACAGAAACACAGCAAAAATAAGGGCTCTGATGACAAAAGGGACTGTGAGACTTTAGTCTTCTCTGTCTCTTTAAGGGAAAAAAGTCAGGAAGCAACCCTGAGCCCTGAATGCAATAGTTTCCTTTAGTCTTGTCCTTTCTTTTCAGCTGTCCATGACCATCTTGTGCTTCAGCAAAGAAAAGGAGTTCAACTGAAAACAGAGAGTAGCATGGGGTAGTGGGTGGGTGGGTGGGGTAGGGGGAATGGGGGGATGGGCCCCAAGCCAACAGGGCCTTGGGGGCAGAGATCCTGAAAAATGCATGTGGCTAATAATATTTAAGTTGCTGTCTGATGTGAGGTGGTAAGAAGTGAGGTAACCTTTAATCCCTGGGAATCCATGTCAATGGAATATTGGCTCCCAGCCTAGAGAAATGGGGTGATGGCCTTTGATCCAGTTGACCCTCCTGGGTCAGGGAGGTACCTTCTGGGGGCTCCCTTGTAAGCCCACTATTTCTAGAGAAAAAATGCCAACACTATATCTTTAGCTGGCTTCATTCCAATATCATGATCTAGGTTAAAAATAAAGTTAAAATAAGCAGTAAGAGGACTGCCTCAGCATTGACCACATGCAAAAAGTAACATGACCTTCACAAAGGAAAAGAACAAAGAATGTGTATCCCCAGCCCTGCTGTGACAACTTTAGTCCTGAGGGTTGACACTTGCTACTGCTGGAAGGTGGGGCTTGGGGTCCTCAGGTGGACTGGAGCAGGCTAAGCAGGTGTCTGCCATGCCACCAGAGCTCTTCACTCCCCTGCTGTGACCAATCTGCCCTGTGTCCTAACTTCAGACCCACATTTTTTCAGAAAGATTCAAACCAGCCACCAAGCAGATTAGGAAGAGACTATCTATGTTGCCATTTTATCTCTTTGACTCATTGGGGACTTGAGAATGTTGAACTCAAAACATATCAGGGAGTTCTTATCACCCTGACATGAATCCTAGGGACAGAGAGCACGTGGTCTCTTGCTCAGGGTGGAGCTCCAATGTCTAGTGGATGTGCTAACAGTGGTGAAGGCAACACGGGCAGGGGCTGACTTTTATGTGCAGGCACAAGCAGGGGATCTGCTGTTCCACGTGTTGGCAGGCCTTCTAGAGGGACATGGTCATGGAATAGGTGATGCCAATTGTCACTACTTTGGTGCCTGTGGGTCAGAATGCCTGGGCTCTGGGAGGATGGCTGCTGTACCAAGTCTCCAGAACTGGAGCTTAGAAAGTCAGCTGCATCTCCAAAGAGCAAATTAACCCCACAAGAGTAGGTAGAGTACGCACGGCCCTTTTTTACACCTGTCCAGCTTTCATCCACATAGGAGAAACTGAGATTAGATATCCTAAGCTTTTCAATGTGTTGTAAAGGCTTGAAATAAAAGCCATTTAAGGGGTCATGGGCCTTAAACCTTCACATTTTTATTATTGTTATTGTTAAAAAAAATAACATTGTTATTGTTAAAAAAAAATCCCTTGAGGTCTGAGATCATGTTCCAATTTTCTTCTTTGAAGATTAATCTTGAGAGTCAGCATGCTCAGAAATTAAACAATGATATCTGAGAAACTCACCTGCTCAAACAAAATTCCTCAAAAGCTAGATCATGGGAAGCTAGGTTTTTCCAAATAAGTAGTATGTTTAGGGGCAGACTGAAGAGGAGGGCGACTGGGTGGGGATGGGCTCCCTGCTGTGGGCAGTGCTCACCCGCAGCTGGACCTGGGGCAAGTTGCCTCTCTCTGGACACCAGTTTCTTTACCAGATAGTTCCCAGCTGCCGGTTTCTTCACCGGATAGTTCCCAGCTGCTTCAGTCCTAAGAAGCCTCAGAGATTTGCATGGAGAAGCAGGAGCAGAGGCAAGGGCAATACTTGGCTTTGGTTTCCTTATCTGTGTAATAAGGTAACTGCTAGGTTGTATTTAGCTTCTAATGCTCATGACTCAGAATCCCATCCTTCCAGGTTGGTGCATCCATCTTCTAAATCGCAAACCCAGGGATGTCAGAAATTATTGGAATTGACTCGTTACAGCATGAAAGGCACTTGGCCTCAGGGCATGAACCACTGTGGAGCAGGGTGTTGGTTAACAAGCTAAGTTTATAAAATGTAAGGCAGGGGTTGACTTTCTTGTGGCCAGACACAAAACCTTAGCTACCTAGACCTCCTGCCCCCCTAAATAAATGCCTTATAACAGGGCAGAGTTCCTATTAACAATGCAGGTGCCATCAGACAGACCACACATATATACTGCTATGAAAATACGAACTGAAGAAGCTGTGGCTCCTTTCTCTTAGAGGCTGGGCCCTGGCTGGAAAAGAGAGTGCTACACTGAGTATTAGGGGGCTCCATCTGCCCTGTGCCTTTGGGCGCATCACCCCGTGTCTGGAAGGCCCCAGCACCCTCATCTCAAATGAAGGGTTGGCCCAGCAGACCCCTAAGAAGACTGCTGGCTCTGGGGAGCCATGGCTTTAACATCTTCCTGGGCAGTGGCCCAAGCTGAAGGCTGATCCAAGTGGTCTGAAGAAGGGTGTGAGTTTGAGGAAGGAAACAGAAAGGAAGAAGAGATACAAAGAGAGAAAAAGAATGAAAGCTAATACAACATAGGCCTGGGCCGGCTCAGCTGCGGCAGTGTTAGGCCAGCCCTGTCCATCTTCAGAGTCTGGCATCTCCTGTGCCCAAACTGGCAGGTTTTGATCTGAGTGATGGATGAGCTATCCTGCTGTCAGCTGTTTCTCACTTGGAACTGCACGCAGGGGCAGCTCTGCCTCAGAGATCAGGAGGGTCACCTGCCCAGGGGAGAGAGATATGTTTGGTCTTCCCAGGGTTACTGATCGTCTGTCCTGAGTAGGAAGGGCTTAAGGACCTCCAGAACTAAGTAGGGTCCCTCCCCCGCAGGCCCAAGCCTACCTGGGTTTTGGCAGAAGCAAATTCTTTTACTAACCTACTTTCCTCTTGTTTTGACCTATACTCACAACAAGATATCTTCCTGGTGAAGGGAGATACCCTCAGCTGACCATTAGCCAGGAGAGGCAAAAGGATCCTGAGCTAGAGAGGGCAGAGCACTGGGCACTTGCTCAGGACAGATCTCATTTCTCTTCAGCCGGTAATGAACCTGCTGTTGTTAGTCAACTTTTGTGTTGGCTATTCACATGCCTGGAGCCTGGGAGAGGAAGAGCCCATGAGGTGCTCCTCTGTAGCTTCCCACAGCCCACGCCTGAGTTTTCAATGCAATGGGAGCTATCTCTGCAGCTCACTTGTGCTATTTCAGGGAAGCCATGAACCCCCATGATACTTTAAGCACCACCCCAATGGGGGACAGGACCTGAGGCCTCAGGGCCATAAGTGGTCTTCTTGATCCTCAAGTGTGACCTTTTGACTGAACTTAAATTTTATTTATTTACTTATTTATTTAATTTTGAGACAGAGCCTCACTTGTCACCCTCAGTAGAGTGCGGTGGCATCACAGCTCACAGCAACCTCAAACTCTTGGGTTCAAGTGATTCTCTTGCCTCAGCCTCCTGAGTAGCTGGGACTACAGGCGCCCGTCACAAGGTTTGGCTATTTTTAGAGATGAGGTCTCACTGTTGCTCAGGCTGGTCCCGAATCCGTTAGCTCAGGCAATCCACCTGCCTTGACCTCTCAGAGTGCTAGGATTACAGGTGTGAACTTAAATTTTACAGTACAAATCCCTTGAATTTGTTTGATTTGGTCAAGGGGCGCACTCAGGGACCTGGAGGGCCACGCGTGGCCCTGAGGCCACAGGTTCTCCACACTGGCACCTTGATCTCACCCATAGCACAAAAAGTTTCCAAGTGAAGAATTTGTACTTGGGAGGTTTAGACAGACTCACAGTTTCTACACTATGGGAAGTAAGGCAAAGCAATTAACACACAATGTTGTAAAGAAAAAAACTGCAGTCAGGCAGGTGAAATGCTGGGTTAGCTGTTAGCTGGGTTTGTTTCTGAGAATTAGAGATGGGACCTCTATGTGGGGCTGGGCATAAAGAGGCAGCCCGTGTGGGCAGAGGCAGGTGTGACCGCCAGCTACCAAGGCCACACTCAGGGTAGTTTGTGTGGGCAGTATCCTTTTTTGCAGGATGAATAGACACAAGGGCACAGAGGCTGGATCCTTCCAGTGCAGACAATGGAGCCCAGCCTGTCTCTGAAGAAGCAAATGAGGGCCCAAGCCAGGAACCACTAACTCTTTTCACCCAGATCAGGAGCATCTGCACAGTGACAGATGGAGGGAGACCTGCCTGACCTGAGAGAGTGACTATGCAGACGGCACTAGCCCAAACCGTGTGGCAGACAGACACCCATGGCTCTGGGCAGTACTGCCTAGCCTAGGTCCCTGTTCCCTGGCCATACCTTGCTCAAGCAGGTGGCCCCTGTGCTGCCTGTAGTCTGAGATCTGCTGCCCACCCCGGCCACAGTCTAGCACAGCACAGAGGAGAAGTTATGCGCTCCCCCACCCCCATCTCATGGTGCCCAGGGGGAGAGGTCTGCATTCCCACTGCTTTTGTCATCTTTCTTTCTCTTCATCATCTCCAGCATGGGCCCTACCACACAGAGCTATGGGCTCTGTTATAGGTGAAATGGTTGTGCCAAGGCATGTGGCCTGGCGTGAGGTCACCCTCTCTCCATACAGGGCCATCTAAATAACAAGGCAGGGGACATCTTCCTAGGTCTCTGTGCTAGACAAGCTCTGCTACATGAGAACCAACTGCATTTAGGACACTCCACTCCCTGGCTTTGTCTTCTTTACACTCTGTTCCCACCAAGTTTGTGAATTTCTTTAAGAGGTCTCAAAAACTTTTGGAGGACTTGGTGAGCACAAGGAACCATACTATACAAACTCATCAAACCTAGTAAGACTGCCAAATCCATAGGCACTGGGCTGGAGGGAGCTTTTCTGACTGGGTAGATGCTTTGGATCTGCTCTCTTAGACCTGTCCCCTCCCAAGCAAAAGCCACAGTAACTTGTGCTCATCCTGGAAAACTGAATACTGCCAAGAGCTCCAGAGACAGTAAAAGGAAAGAGAAGACCCTCCCCTCATCCTTGCTGATGTCCCAGACTCTTATGGCCCAGGGGCATGGACCATATCAGAAAACCAGAAGTGGTGTTTCTGGGACTGAAAGTCCATGGCTTAAGGAGATTGTACAAAAATAGGAGGGGAAATTTAGCACCCCTGTCAGCATGAGAGAATATGGCCTTGTACTGTCTGATTCACGAGGGCTCAGCAGGCAGCAAGAGGAAGGCATAGGCTATCACACAGGACAGGGTTAGGGTGGACAGCAGGCTCGGCTCAGCTGGTGACTCCTCACCATTCCTTGGGTTATGAGCCAGCTGTCTATAGGCTCCAGGTCAGAGTCCCCACCTCTACCTCTCTTCTGGGCCGAGGACAGAAAAGTCCCAGAAAGAAAAGTCATAGCAAGACCCATGAGAAAGAAATCAGTAGCACACATTGTGGGAACAGAAAAGTCTTGTTCAGAATTAATCCTCTGTTACGTAAGGAAATATGGTTCAATGCCCCTGCCCCCAACCTCTACCTGGCGAGTCCCCCTTACCTGCCTGGAAAAAAGAAGAAAGTTTAGTAACCAAGAATCCCAACAGGATAATACATGCAAATGCCTACCACCCCTGTGCCCTTGGAAAATCCCCATGAGGCCGTGGAAGGTTGACCAGGGCTGCTTCTGTTCTTTAGGGCTACCAGGCTTGGCAGGGGGTCAACCTTCCAAAGAACCAGCTCTTGTGAAATCACTTCGACTTTTTTCTAATTTATTCCTGTATGTTTGCTTTTTTTTCCTTTCTGGTGGGCTATATATTCTCTTTCTAAACTCTTAACTTGAATGCTGAATTTAGGTATATTCTTTATTGCCTTTTTTAAAATGATAAAGATGACTGATTTGGTTGGACTTGATTTATGGAGGTGTAACTACACAATTTTTCTCCCTTCTTTGTGTTCCTAATTTTTCCCTTGGTCCCATTTTCATCTGTAGGTCAGCACGTCTTAGGGTAGGACAAGGTACTGGAGTGCTGCACACAGGCCAGAATGTATGTGTATACACACTGGCACATACAGCCGGTGAGCACCCTGACAACCCACATGGCTGCGGCTGTGGCCATTAGCAGCAAACGTGAAAGCCATCTGCCTACCACTGGGTGGAAAAAATGGTGTAGTCATCAGACCTTTGAAAATAGGGAGCCAGTCCAAGCCACGTACCCAAAGGGTAAAGGGCAAGAAGTCACCCACATCTCCTGGGCTCAGGCCCAGGCCTGGACATTGATAATGACAGGGGTGCAGCAGGACACACCCTGGCATGCAGGAGGCAGGGGAGTAAACAAGGTCAGCCTGGCTGGGGGACAAAGCTATTCCCAGGCCTGAATAGTCAGCCAGGAAGAGCACATGTCCTCACCAGGCTGTGTGGGCAGGCCTCGGCCCAGTTCTCTAATGCCCTCCCTCGGTAGGTGGGAGGACATTTTCTCAAGTATTGGGAGGATCAGAACCTTGATGACTTGTATACATTTTGGGCATCCCAGTGGTACTTTGGAAAAATAGGATGCCAAGAACCCAAGGGAACTGGCTGGCTCTCCTATGACCCCTGGTGGCTAGTGCAGTGGGATGCATGCCCTCTGATCAAGTGGGCTGGGCCAGCACCCATTCACTTTCTCTAGGGGTGAGCTTTTTCCAGAAACCTGGTTCCCTGTCTGCAGAAGAGGCATAAAAACAAGAAGGAAACCAGGGAGGGACTGCAGGAGGCTAACAACTGGTATTCAGGAAGCAAACAGCCCTTTGCAAACCTTCCTGTCCAGAGGACAGATGAACACTGTCCTTTTTTAGCCTAGCCAGGGACCTGACAGGAGTTCCTTTGGTTGTGGGCAGCTGTTCCCAGGGCTCTCCTCTTCCCTCTTCTATAAACAGACCTGCTTCCACACACATTTCTCAGTTAGGCAAAGAAGAGAAAAACCTCATGAGAAGCATTAAGATGTAATTCTTTTCTCTTTTGGTAATCTGAAATCTTGCAGAAACTGTGGTTGCATCTGAGGGCTCAAACAAGTACCACCCTCCCCTTTAAAGTGCCTCTGCCCTTGGCTTTGCTCCATCTAGACACAGAGCTTTCCCAAGCACCCTTCCAGGCACCATCCAACTGTTCCAGCTCCCCAGAAAAACCCTCACCCTCACGTGTCTTCTAATGGTTTTGGTTCTGCTCTGGCAGGCCAGAAACAAATGACCACCAGAGATACGGCTTAAATCAGCACTGTCCTTCCTGTACAGGTCACAGTTGTGTCAGAGCATGGCTTACCCAGAGGGCACTGTAACAGATGACCACAGGAGCGCTGAGCCCTGAGTCCTTCCTCCAGGACCCATGGTAGGAAGAGAAGGGGTTTTGGAGGTAGACATTTCTTGGATGGGATCCCCACTTACTTGCTGCCTGCTCTCTGGGTGTCCCTTGGCCTATGTCCTACTCCCTGAGTCTGTTTCCTCTTGAGTGTCATAAGAACCTTGTGTCACCTGCATGTCATCTTATGGGGTGGGTAAAAATGTGGCACTGCCTGGTAACACATAGGGGCTCCATGGGTCTCTCCCCAGTGTGTCCCTGCCCTCTATGCAAGCCAGGTGCTGCCAAATTATCCAGCTAGCTTTGCCAGACTGCCTGATTTTTCCCTCTAGAAGCCTCTAGGCAGAAAAACATGATTAAAGACTTACCCCTTCTGAGCTCTGTTTTCGACTGTCCAGTGCAGAACTGAGTCCTCCAACAACCTGGGGATCCTCATGGGTCACCCTAGAGGCAAAGCAGCACAAGCAAAGTGAGTTCTCCCCCAGCAGTCATGGGGGGCTGGGGCAGTGGCCTGTAATCGCTTCCTATCCCATGGTATCTTCCTGAAATATCCTTGAAAACCATTTCCTGTGATCTTAGTATTGGGTAGAGGCTAAAGGCTCATACTACCTGTCTCCCTGCAGCTGGAGCTATGGATCTTTGTCTCAGCTCAGGCTCAGTCACTAATCTCCTCTGGGATCTGGGATATTGTATACCTCAACATCCCTCTGAGTAACAATACTGGGGTATTTCTGAAGTTTAATGATAGGATATTAAAAGTATTCTGGATCTTTGATTCTGGGGAGATGGCTGACTGGTAGCAACCCTCAGCAGAGGCTTCTGAGCAGAGGAAGAAAAACTGGACAGAATGGGACTCTATGAAGCCAAAGGTGGGGAGCTGAGCCAAGAAAGAAGTTCAGTAACCTGTAACTCTTTTTTTTTTTTTTTTTT